ATCCAAGTTATAGCTAGGGTTTTAAGCAAGTCGGATTTCAGGTTCATGCGCAATTAGGGTTTATATCAAAACGATTTCTAAACCTCAGATCTAATCATTTAATTGATCAAACAAACACATAGTCCCATGGTGATCAAGTAATAACAAGAGTTAATCAGATCTATAGCAGCAAGAACGAATTTTAATCAATCAAACAAGATCTATCAAAAACGGATCTAGAGAGAGAAGCAAAACAAACCGGTTTTATGCAATAGCTATCAAGAGTTTTAAAACATCAATTTACTTGAACTCAAAACACGAAATCTATCAAGGTGAATTCCTAAAGCATTCAACATAATTAACTTGATAAAAATAAGCAAGCAAAACGGATCAAAGCAAGCAAAGATTTCGAGTTCATCAATTAGGGTTTTAGGTTAACTTTTGTTCATGAATACAAGTTTGTATCCATGTACATAGTTAGGCTCTTTAGGGGTTTAATTTTTCTTCTCAAACATACCAAAACATTATAGTTTTAAGGGGGTCGAAACTTATGTTTAAGAGTTTAAGTTTCATACCTCAAATCTCCTTGTTTTTGAATGGACCTCCATTAGGGCAAAACCGGTTTGGATCTTTAGGAGAGAGAGAGATTGGATTGCTTTGAATCTTTTAGCTAAGGCTTTACACCTGCAAAAGAATAGTTAGCAAGGGATTTATTCTTCAAAATAACTTAATAAATTGAGGAAGAAATAAGGGGTAAGTCGTTTGAGTAAGAGAGAAGTTTCTAGGGTTTCCCGGATTGGAAAAACAGAAATTTAGCCGCCGTCTTGTTTTGGGGATTCCGGTTGATTCCGATGTCTGATTGACGCGCCGTTTGAACGGTTGGATTCCTCTCTTCAAGGGCTTCAAATTGATATGTTACTCGTCGTCTGGGTACACACGGTTTGGGAGATACGTCGCTTTGAAGTTGCTGCAGGGATTAGGGTTTTCTGCAGCCGCCAAGAGAGAGGGAGAGAGCTACGGATTTTTGTGCTAGGGTAGAGCTCGTGCTGATAACGTGTTGTGGAATAAAGAAGGTTGTTGTAACTCTGTATATCTTATTAATCTCGTGCACATACATATATATACAAGAGAATAAAGCATATTCCTTAGGAGATAAGGATTACAACAATAAAGGGGATGATTATCCTAATCCTATAATGATTAGGATAACTACAACATATGGATAAACACAAGGGAGGATAATGACTGATGCTTGGCGCCTGGTATGGATAATGACAAGCTGCTGGCCGCTTGGTCTTGGACTGGAGTGAGACTGATGTGGTCTGGTCCATTTCCGGATATGTCCCAACCACCATTTCTCAACAATTCAGTTATTGTTATCCTTTTCTATAATCGAAATTTTAGCAAGTAATTGGGTCTCACTGTAATCAGATGATTAGATTAACTTCACAAGAAAACAAGATGAAGTATCACTACTCGCTCCATTCCAAAAAAATGTATATTCTAGAAAAAAATTTAAACATATGTATTTTATAAATTTTAAATACATTTTTTGTTAACTAATAATAAAAAACTGTGAATTTTAAAAATATTAATTATTTTTCTTAGAACTTTTGGATTAGAAATTCAAAAATAAATTACAAAAATTATGTATTAATAACTAAACTTTAATATGTTTTATTAATAAGTGTAAAAGTTTTAAAATATTTAGAAATATTATTTTGAAGAAGTGTTATATAAAAATATGTAATAGTTTATGGGCTTGAGGAGTGAAGAAACAGCTAATGGACATTGAAGCCATTTGTCTTTTGCTCTGTTTCTAGAAAAATGTTTAAGTGGGCTTTTTCACATTCTGTACTAGAATTCAATTTTATAAAGTAACTGGCTGATAATCAAAAGTACAATAAAACCGAGGACTTATATTCAAAAAGTGAGAAAACTTTAAGTTACCTTTGAAGAGTTTGAATCAAAAGCTGCTATAGGGTTTCTGCAAGTTCATTGTTTCAGCTCTCACTCTCTGCTTCACTGTAGGTTAAGCAAAATGTATAATGGATCTAGCGACGGCGAGAGCCACGATACGTCGATACAGAGGAAGCTCCCGCCGGCGTCTTCGATGCTCTGGGTTAGAAATTTACGACGGTACATTGGTTCCGGAGCTGGATTAGGATCCGAAGCTCTAATGGGTAATGTCCTAAACTCCTTCTCTTTCAATTTCCCCTGGTAAAGTTTGAATCTTTATTCCCGTTTTCGAGCTCGTTGTGTGTTCGAATGAGTAAAGTTTCTGACTTTATGGAGAAAATGTAGCTTTTTCTATTTATTGAAACAGTGAATGAGTCTTGAGTTTGATAAGGGTTTGTTTTGCAGAGCTTGAGATTAAGAGAATCTTGTTCGAGATATTTAAAGAAAAGCAACTGAAAAGGCAAGAATCAGGCACGATACCCAGTTTCTACAAGAAGGTATGTCTTGTCTCTGTATTTCACGGCATTAACTGATTAAATCTTGGTAAATATTGGTTTTACTTTTCGTGTTGTTTAATAATATTATGTTACTTAACTCTTTGTTTCAGAAACCAGAAGAAGGATCTATTAGTCAAAGGGTCCAAAAGCTTGCAAAATACCGCTTCTTGAAGGTATAGATTCTTCATTGCCTGCGCTTATTTTCTCTGAAGACGTTTGATGTTTTATGCTCACTTCACTATGTTTTGATTTATTTCCACAGAAACAATCTGATCTTCTGTTAAACTCTGATGATTTGGATGCTTTGTGGAGTTGTTTGAGAGAAAATTGTGTGATTGATGATGCCACTGGTGCTGAAAAGGTACATGCTTAAAGTTTTGCGCCAGAGCTGAAACTATGTGTATATAAAGTTAACCAGTAATTCTGATATTTGCTAAAATATTTTTCCATGTAGATGAACTATGAAGACTTTTGTCACATTGCTTCTGTATGTAATGAACAAATAGGCCCCAAATGTCGTCAGTTTTTCAGCCCATCCAATTTCATGAAGTTTGAGAAGGATGACGCTGGAAGGATTGCTATCTTACCGTTCTATCTATATGTGCTGCGCACGGTGGGTATCCTCATCTTCTTTTTTATCATTTGATATCTTTGAATTATCACTTTGTTTATTATGATAATCATTTGTTCATCACCGTTCAGGTGTCGCTTACACAAGCTAGGATTGATATGAGTGAGCATGATCAAGACGCTGATGGTTTCCTTCAATCTGATGTAAGTACCCAAGTGGCTCCAAAACTTATAGTTTAGTAATGCCCCTAGAAGATTTAAGGAGCCCTCTTACAAAAAGTCTACCTGATGTTATTGTAGGAGATGGAGTCTTATATTATGGGTTTAATCCCTAACTTGGCACAATTGAAGGACATGCTGGAGGCCTTTAGACAAACGTATTGCCGCATAGCTGCACGAAAGTTTTTCTTCTTCTGTGATCCTCATAGGCGAGGTAGGGGAACTAAAGATATATAATTATGAAGCCATGAGAAATTTGCCTAACCTAGTGTGAGTAGTATATAATCGTCATGTGTTTAATGTGATCTATTTTTTTTTTTTCTTGTGCGTACAGGAAAAGCCTGTATTAAGAAGATACTGCTCAGTAACTGTCTGCAGGAACTAATGGAATTGCATCAGGTCAGTCCAGATGAAGGATTTGTGGGAGACAGTTGTGTGATCCTACTTTTCATTTGCTTGCATTTACTAATTGTTCTCCCATGTTGCTCTACGTTAGGAAAGTGAGGAGGAAGTCACAGAGACAGAGCAAGCTGAAAATTGGTTCTCAATGACTTCAGCTCAACGTGTATGTGGTGAGTGTGCAATTCTGTCTAAAAAACCTGCATAGAACTCAAGAGAAAATTGATGTAGAGTTTATATTTCTTCTGTAGATATGTTTCTTGCACTTGATAAAGATTGTAGTGGATCGCTGAGCAAACAAGAACTTAAAGAATACGCTGATGGGACCCTAACTGAAATTTTCATCGAAAGAGGTAAACTTCAAATTCTTCTTGGTCACTGTATACTTTTCATTGGTACTGAGAGTCACCAATAGTGATCGAGACAAGTTAACTATAGTTCTAGAAGTAACTGGATACTCTTTTGTAGTGTTTGATGAGCATGTCCGCCGAGGCAAAAGCAGCGCAGTCAAGTCCCGGGAAATGGACTTCGACAGCTTCTTAGATTTCGTTCTTGCGTTGGAGAACAAGGACACTCCAGAGAGCTTGACATACTTATTCCGCTGTCTTGATCTCCAAGGGAGAGGCTTTCTCACCACTGCTGATATTCACTCTCTTTTCAGGTAATGATACTGTTTAGTTTTTCTTCTTTTGTAGATTTTCTTTTTAAGACTATGGAAGTAAAGAAGGGGAGCATCAAAGAGTTGTGATGTTATCTGATACAATCTTCCTAAATAAAAAATCTCTGCATTTCCTGCTTGCGGTAACTGAGCTTTGTTCCGTGAGTCTCATATCTGCAAAGACACTATAGCGCATAATAAATGACACCCTCCTGCTTCCATTGAACTTCACAAATCTCATCTGTTAAACTTGCAGAGATGTTCACAAGAAATGGATAGAAGGTGGGAACTATGAGCTGTGCATAGAGGACGTTCGTGATGAGATCTGGGACATGGTGAAACCGTCTGACCCGTTAAAGATCACTCTGAATGATCTATTGGGATGTAAACAAGGTGGAACTGTTGCGAGCATGCTAATAGATGTGCGTGGCTTCTGGGCTCATGACAACCGTGAGAACCTTCTTCAAGAAGAGGAAGAACCACCTGAGGAAGAGTCTCAGTGATAATGTTAATAACTAAAAAAAATGCTAATCGTAGGCCAGATAGGTCGGAGAAAGACCAAAAGTCTCCTCTAGTCTCCACTCTGATGTGTTTGTATTTTGTGTAAGAAGCTTATAAGGTGCTGACCTTTAACTAATTTGTATTGTGTAAGAAGCTTATTGATGTTTAATTAAATGGAAAAAATGGATGTGTTTTATGTCGTCACTTGTCTTCTAATGCTTGGAATCTGATTAGATTATTGAAATTTCTGAATTTCTTTTTACATTAATCAACAAAGCACAGAGATGGTTTGCATTCGTCTCTTAAAAATTACACAATACAAGTCTTAAGGTTCTTGTCTGATCTCTAGACACAGGTCTTTGTTTAGACATGGAAAGGCTTTCTTGGTGTACCAGCTCTGTTCTCCAGAGATTGTAACCTTTGCTTCAGATGAAACACTTCAACCTGCAACTGAAACGCTCTTGCTCTTTCTCCTGCAAGAACACCTCTTGTAGAATGCAACTCCTACAAAACAGAAGACGCACAAAAACGCTATTAAAACTTTGATCCTCCACCTTTTATATCCCATCTACAAGGATTGTTTTTACCTTCTGTGTATCTTCTAGGACAGCTTTATGGAACGCTAAATCATGCTCGAGCCTGACATTGTCAGAGTGAACCATATTTGACAAATTATTAGCTTCCTCTTGTGCTAACTCTAACCCTGTGAGCTTCTCCTTAAGCAACTCAACATCCCTCAAGGCATCAGAGAGCTTTTTATCAGTCTCTTGTTTGCTCCTCAAAGAAACCGACACATTTCTCTCAGCCGCTTCTCTCCCCGCCAACGCGGCTTCTAACTGCCCTTCCAGAATCCCATTTCTTCTTATGAGAGCCGTCATTTTCGCCTCGTGGAACTGATACACACTTGATGATGATGCTAAAGTGGCGTTATCCATCTCAGGGAATATCAAGGAGTCATCAATGTGTGCAAAAGGAAACGATTCAGTGGATTGCTTGTGGAGATTTGACATTTCACGGTCAGACACAGTGGAAAGTATTTTCTCTGCTGTAATCTTTGCTCCACCTCCATTGTCTTCATCTGTTGTCTGAACCAAGACAAGGAGGCTATTCAAGTACACTAGTATATGCACAAGCTAAAACATGAACTAACTATATATATATATATATCTATACCCGAGGCAAAGAGATTTCTTCTTCTGAGGACTTTGGAGGTGGTTCAACCACTGCTCTGTACTCTTCTTCAGTGCTAAACTGTTTACGCAAAGAGACATTTCCAGAAGATGGATTACGATGATCAGCAAAAGCAATCTCTGATAAAGATCTTCTACCGGAGCCACCGTGCTCTTCAATGGCAGAAGCAAGTTTCTGTCTAGCAACGGAATCAATCAGCCTCTGAGAAGAGGCCTTGACAGATTCATCAGAGGTTAAAACTGCAGAGGAAGAAGAAGATCGTTTTCCAAACAGCAACCGGCCATGGTTCTTCTTGGAAGTTGTTAGCTGATGTGTTGTTGGTGATGATTCACTCTTGTTCTTGTCGATGCTAAAAACCTCCACCTGTTTCGTAGAAAAGATCCATGACTCTGCATTCAAAACACATTGCGTTTTCATACGTAATGATATGAGCTCTGACCTGATTTGTAGGGTCTTTTTTAGTTCCTCCGAAAGCTACAAGTAAGTCTTTATCCTTGTGTTGCAGAAGAACTAGACTAAATCCCTATACAAAACATTTAACTAAGCTTGAACAAGATAGTGGTCGAAAAGTTGAAAACATATGAGTTTCTTTTTTTACTATATAGTTAAACACCTTATTAGCTGTGATGGAAGATTGAGGGGAGATGCTTGCCACAGACCACTCGACCTTTAGAATATCAAAGACTAATGTTTCTGCATGTCCTGTGAAAACAAAATAAACATGTAAGATCCGACTTAAGTAAGTGCGTTTTCGAGGTATAGAAAACTTACTCTTCTTTCTGCTTCCACCTCCGGTTATATACCATTTGTTACCGCAAAGAACTCCACAACTACCCGCTCTTGGAGACGGGTGAAAACCTCTAATCTTGATTCTTGACCATACCATCTAGATGACAAATGTTGTGTCAAGAAAAGAATATTTTCAATCTTGTAAGGAAGATAGAAACACATGGTGCGAGTGAAAAGCATTACGGTTTCAAAGTCGAGTGAGTATAAGTCATTAAGTGTTTTATTCTTGCCCGAACCTCCGAACACAAACAGAATCTTGTCATCAAATAGTGTGGCTACATGATTAGATCTTGCACACGGTCGTGTTCCCCTGGTTATTAATCAATAAATGTTTCAAGAAATCACAAGAGTTTCATGTGAACTGACATTAGGAGAAGGAGAAAAAAAAAACTAACGTGCAGTTAAGAGGGAGCCATGTAGATGATTTGAGATCAAACATATGAAGATCGTTTAGCTTCCTCTTCTTAGAATCTTCACCACCGAAAAGGATCAGTACCGAGCTAGCCCTCACTACTGTGTGACCATTGCGACTGACCTGCAATTTCTTAAACGAGTGAGACTTTTTTCTTCGAGCCAATAACTTGTAAATGAATATCGAGAGGACTTAGAAAATTTACCGGTATGTCTCCCTTTGCATCCATCAGCGACCAGCATTCGGATTCAGTATCAAATGACCAAACTACAAGTAACACTGTCTTAAGCAGAGTGTAA